ATTCAAAAACAAGTCACTGCATTTTCTTAGTTACCAAAATCTCTCATCCAATAGAATTCACTCTTTTCACGATGTAACGTCATCAATCTAATCATGTTCACCGGGCTATTCAAACTATCTAGTCACCGCGATGTAAGTGACCAATATCTTTCATCCAATGGAATTCCTTCTTATCGTGACGTACCACACGTATATCACGTTACTATACAAACTAATAATTAATACTATCAATGACACAACACATTCTTTCTATTGTTTAATACCATTGTTTAATTGAAATTAATCCCTTTGAAACACCGACACCGCACTTCCTAAAATTAATTAACTACATAACACCTGTTTTAAGCCGCACATCCTTTCTATTGTTTTCAATTTCAATACGTCACACACACCAACTCAAATTCATATTTTCCTATTAATAATATTTTATTTATTTATTTATTTTTATTATTTAAAGTATTTATTTATTATTAATATAATATAAACAATTGTTTTCATATTATTCCCATTGTTTACTTTACATATTTAATAACCTCCTATAACGTCCATACTTACTACTGTCTTTCCATCTCATATTTTCTAATGACATTCATTACTAAATTTTGAGAAATCTATCAATGCCTCAGGTTAGAGAAAGTCTCCAATTAAATTTCCTTCGTTGTTTGGGTCTTAAGGGTCCTGCATATTATCCGTCCATATGAATGATACAACGACAACAGTGATGAGTCATCAGTGCCGGATCCAGGAATTCAAAATAAAGGGGGCCCTGGGAGGTACTTTTAATTGTGATTATGGCACCTCTAGATGGCCGGAAATTACACTTTCTGACCTAAAATTTAAACATAAGTTTCTATATCTCCATTTAAAAAAGTGTTTAAGAGGTGGTGGGGGAGGGGGCTGGACCCCTTTGAATTCGCCATTGATCATTGATTGGCGGAATGGGAAATACAGTATTTGGTATATTTCCCCTTTTTTTGTGTTTTTTTTTTTGGTCACAACCTTGCATTATAACACACCTGTTCCAATTTTGGGGTTATTATGAGCGGTGTTGCATCGTGTTTTAGTAGCACTGCGCTTTCGGCCACTCCTGTGTGCCCATTATCGCAAACAGTTCTTTCATCTTTATTTTGGAACGTTTTACCGTATGGACACACACAAAAAAACTTTTTTCCATCTCATATTTTCAAATGACATTCATTAACAAATTTTGATTGCGTCAGGTTACAAAAAGTCTCCAATTAAATTTCCTTCGTTGTTTAGGGTCTTAGGGGGTCTTAAATCTTCCGTCCATATGAATGATGACAACGACGACAACAAATTATGTTTGATTAACGTCACTGTGAGTAAAGTTCTTCAGCAAAGTATTAATGATAATGAATTTATAGATTTGTACTCACAATTATTTTATTTAACTATTGTGAGGAAAAATGTGTACAACTAATATACATCATATACTATTCGATCCTGTATAGGCATATGATTATATTATGTATTAGTTATTAGTTTAATGTTTTGACATTGTTATAAAAAATGTGGGAAAAAAATGAAATTAATGTGTGGTAACTCCACAAAAGAGATAAAAAATTATTAATGATAATGATATACATACTACTTACTGTATATCATTAATGATAATGATATACAGTAGTATGATGATGAATACAGAGAGCAGTGGGTAGTGTGTTGATGACGTCATCGAAAACAACGAAACGGATGGCAATGATTATTTATTATATTCATAGAATTTTCGAGTGATTCGTAGAACTAATACAAATCGTATTATTGTTGTTTGTTGCTAGGTGATGATGTTGTTCCTGGCAATATGGGGTTGTTAGACCAAATCATGGCTCTTCAATGGGTTCAAGCAAATATAAAAGGTAAACAAAAATGACAGTATACTGCAATCACTTTCTCCTCATAAAATACTCCATTTGTCTGCTTATTTTCTTTTGTTTTATCATTTTAACATTTGAATAACTTGTTTACAGTATCTGTTTTTGTATAATTGTAATGTAGGCCTACACCTCAATAAATTAAAATACATACCGGTATTTGTATAAACTTACGTCAAAGCCAGTGCACCTTTTAACGCGTATTATGCCTAATCAGTGAAAGTGTATATACCTAAACAAATTTTTACAATACAAAGGCGTATTATTGGATGTTGACATAGTTCAACATACCTATAGTGAAGACATTGAACTTTCTATTTTTGTTAACAAATTTACGAGTCAAGAGAAAGGTCATAGGCCTAAGTTTATATAAAATCAGTGCAACCTACAGAATTGTTTCGGCTTATGTGTTCATTGGAAGTTGATATATCATAGTTTTGTCCTTTTAATGACCAATTCTTGGTTGTACTTCACATTTTAAAATGGTTTTCGACAGTTAAATATCTCTTTCGTATGTATGTATAGGCCTACGTTAATTGGGATTGTTAAATGTTAACATTTTGATTATTTCAGCTTTTGGTGGTGATCCAAGCAAAGTAACGGTATTTGGGGACAGTGCTGGCGCCATAAGCGCCGGTATTCATCTGTACTCTCCTAAAAGTGCTGGGCTGTTTAGCAACGTTATCATGACGGTAATGTCACATACATTCGTATTATTATAATACACCAATTATTACGACCGTGTAACATCATGGTACGGTACTATCAAATCAAAATTGAAACCTATGATATATAAAGTGTCGAAATATCCGTCTGCAAATACAATATTTTTAATATTAATTTATTTAAGTATATTTTTATTTATCACATAGAGTGGCACGTATCTAACTCCGCGTTTCATTGTGAACCAAAGTACAGTTTCACGCAGATCTCGAGCGCTTGGAAAGAGTTTAGGCTGCAACCAGGAAAACTCTACAGAATTTGTCAACTGTCTGCGCATGATCGATGTCAATGCACTTGTTGTCAATCAGACAGTCAGAGTAAGTCGTTCTGCTTGATTCGAAACATTGTTTTACACGGTACACGACCGATGTAGTCCTTTTGATGGATTAGGAATAGATTGAAGTGTGGGATAGGCCTAGCTAGTATTGAAGAATGATAGATGTTGGTAGATAGATAAATAGATGGGTTGTTCACTAGATGCATGTAGTATCTGTGATAGTGGTAAGAGAGGAAGTAAAATGTAATGGATGGATAGATAATTTACTGATGACCAAGTAAAGTAACATCTAGATTAAATTGTTTCTCGGTGTATACTAAGATCTTCATTATATTTCTATATTATATAGACATTACTTGAAACCAGAGAAAATATCGGTATAGTACCGTTCACACCAGTCGTCGATGGCTCTATCATCTTAAGGAGAGCAATGGAGATGGCACAAGGAAAAATGAACGGTGCAAACGTCATCATTGGCTCTAGCGCCAACGAAGGTTCAATATTTATTTCGTTGCACATCGAAAGTAGTGAAGAACCACACATCGATAAAGAAAAATATGATAATTTAACTAAGAAAATATTTATAGAGTATGTATCAGACCCGTTTCTAAGCGATGCTATCGACATGGAATACCTTAACAACAAACATATGTATAACCCTAACAAGAATCGATATAAAGAATTGAGCGAAGCGCTTGGTGACTGGTGGTTTGTCTGCCCGGCCGATAAAACTGCCAGAGAACTGACTCAGAAGAGGAAAAATGTTTACTATTATCAGATGACACAAGTTCCAAATGCTTCCTTGTGGCAGAAAAACTGGTTAAAAGCAACACATAATGAAATATTAACGTACATATTTGGCTATCAATTTAATGAAAATATACCTTACATTGCTGGGCGGCTGTCTGAGGACGATGTACAGATGACAAAAAAGACGATACAGTACTTCACAAATTTCGCAAAAACAGGGTAAGTTCATTAACACACCAACAGGTAAACAGTACGTGCATTGATACCTTAGAATAGGATTCTGTATCTTCTCACAAAAAAATAATAATCGAAAGATTTTTGAGAAACGCTTATAATTGTTCATGTTTAATGATAAAATACTGATTAAAAATAGACTGTCTCAGCTGCTGTGTCTGAAATTCCTTCCCACAACATTGACAGAAGATCTATAATGGTTATTTTATTTATTGTTTTAATATTGATTTTATTTAAGCCCATCAATTATCTTGTTTATATATATAAAAAAAAATATTTTTGAGGAGCGCATGTTAGGCTATTGATAGAATATCACACAGTCATTGAGTTTGAGTATCATGTATCCGGCAGGAGTTTCTTTCTACATTAGATCCACTGAAAAAACAAAGATTAAACTATTGAATAACGGAAACAGCGTTTACATAAAAACAAGCTGTACAAAGCCTTATCTGAAATTGTACCGTACCTAAATACTGAACTATTATATGGATTTTTAATTCTAACGGTTAAGGCTATACGGCCTTTAATGACTTTATTTACTAATTCTACTCGGAAATTGTTCGGATTAGATCTATGGTTCATGTCTTCCTGAGATTATTATCGAAGTTTCTTCAATGAAAAATATCACTATTTTACCGTACCTTGGTAGAATTGTAACAAGTACAAAACGGTCAAAATATAGGCTATTCAAAGTGTTTAATCTGGTTTGCTTATTATGATTGTAGAAATGTTTTATCGATAATAAACCAAGCACCGTTGCAATTATGTGACCGTTGTAAATAGTTCGATTTTGTATTGACTGATCCTAATGCAATCTTGAAATAATGTGCTTGTTTACTTACTTACACACTAATACTTCTGTCTCATATAGCATATTATTATAGCAATTTATAAACTTGTACTATATCTATTGATTTTTATTCAACCGAATTACTTCCTTTTTTGGGGGGGGGGGAATATCTTGTTTTACAGTAATTTGGACTATGGTTAGGATTGGAATTACTTTGTTGTGATTTCACTGTGTAATACGGCGTTTTATACTGAAGGGTTAATCCAAACCCAGAAGAGCTCTGTGCTAATGCACTGTAGCCTTTTTTATACGTCATCTCACGAGTTACTATGACACAAATCTCTGTGATTTCAAATACGGATGTGAATTTTTTTTCATAGAAATCCAAATGAGGAGAATTCGACCGAAAATCCAGCTACCGATTCGCTACCATTTTGGGGTCAGTTTACTGCACCGGAACTTACGTACAAGAAGTTGTCAGCGGACATGGATAGTGCAAAAGCCTTGAAGGTGAAGGAATGTCGATTCTGGAACGAGTACTACCCTCGAGCGGTCAATCTCACAGGTAACACAATCTAGACCTACGATAAATTTTTAGAGAGTGCATGTTCATTCTGCTTTTAATCTTGGAAATAATGTCAGAATTTTTATTCACAACAAAAATACCACTCTCCAACCATCATAAGAAATAGTTGTGGGGCCTAAGCAAGTGGGTCACCCTAAAATAGCCAGCAGCCAGCCTGCCAGGTCTCCCCATCCACGTTTTTTTTTTAATTAAGAAAATTGGGTAGGAGAAAGAAATTATGTGAGGGAATACGATTTCTGGCCATCTAAAACTCAGCCTAAACCATGGTTTTTCTGAGATGTAAAATCTCTCCATCTCTCACATTCTGTGCCCACTTTTGTTATCCCTGTATCTACCCAGATGAACTAAAGGATATTTATATATTTGTCATATCCTTTTTATTCTGTATTACTGTGTGTTTACCAAATGCCTCAATAATAATGCAACCTTAATGTTTTAAGTTGATAAATCCCAAGAAAATTTATAAAATTTTAACACTGAAAAGTTAGAGAAAAATCCAATTTTTTAACCACACAGCCGATGGAATAGTTTTTGGCAGATTATTTAGATCTAAATCGTTCACAGAAATGTCTCGGGGCTCTCATTGTTGTTTGTTCGCTGTCGTTTATTGATCACATCCAACAAGTAAATTACTTAGTCATAGCCAACAATACTACTTTAGTTAACAGTAAATTGTACAGTAGTAAGAGCAGGTCAGTTGTTAAGCCGGTAATATGTACCGTACCCGAATAGATATGCTTAAGTGATTTCGCATCAAGAAGAGACATACTATTGTTGAAATTTGGTGAACAACTTTTGAAATCTGATAGGCATAGGCATCTACTACCCCCCCCCCCCCCCAATGTTACTTGTACTAGAACCTTAAGGAAAAGCAGTACTTTATTACTCATTGAACCAAGATGTCCCACAGAGAGACTAAAGTCAACAATACCTACTGTAACTCGCCTCTTAAATACCAGCTTTCAGAGTGGACAGAAATAATTTGGTCTCTTCCTCATTTTGTATGCCTTTAAAAATGAAAATTTTCTTTTTTGTGTGTGTAATGTACTTTTATATTTTGTAATTTTAATTTCTAAATTCTAAAATAAATTTGTAAAATAATAATAATTTAATGAAAATTGCAATATTTCGATCTGTTAAATAAATTGATGAAATTGATAATGTATAAGAATACCGATAACAGGAAATGTGCAATATTTTACTGTACAAATATAATTTAAACTTTAGCAACTAAAATTTACTGATAATGATAATAAAGTGACCTTCTTTTGTGCTTTTTTATAATTGATGATAATTGGTATTTGACATTTTTTGTTTTTTGTAATGAATTGTATTTATAATGTTTCTTAGCTTTTGTATTTTGCTGTTTTGCATTTGTAAATAATTTTTTGTGAATAGGTTTTGTGATGTAAACCATTTCAGCTTCGGCTCCCTTTTTGTAATTGTTTTTTATATGTTTATACCTGAATGAATAAATAAATAAATAAAAAATTGAAAGTTCATACAATCCATCAAAAACATGTAGTTCGTCTAATATCAGGCGAGTGAAAGATTTTATTTCTTTTAATATATATTTTTAAAAATTATCGTAAATAAATAACTATAACTGGGATCGCATTACAAAACGGTAGGCCTATTTACTTACAATTTTCTGAGCACTAATCGTAGTGCCACATCAAATACAACATTAGATCAGTGGCGTATCTAGAAGTCTTGAAAGGGGGGGGAGGGCGAGTAATTTTTTGAGGCGTTCTTTCGGGCGGGGGGGGGGGGGGGGGGGGGGGGCGAGTAATTTTTTGAGGCGTTCCCACCACCACTCTCCCCTCACCCTAGATACGCCACTGCATTAGAGTAAAATGACAACCTCATATCTGTCAGGAAAGAACACATTGAATAAGAAATTAACAAGGAAATTAAAACAACCGAACTATATTCCCCGACTACACCATTTAGACATCGATGATAAAACTTACAGACTTCTGTATCAGCATCGATGCCGATCAATACACTTACACCGATTATAGCCACGGTTGAAAAAGGCAAGGTTAAGGCCTATAGCTAAAAAGTACTTCGTAAAAACTTCGGGGTCAAATTTACTGGACAAGGTCTGCTTCTGAGAAGAAGGTTCTGAAATGAATATTCTAGAACAACTTGTTTAACAGATCATTTATGAGAACAGTTTGACTTCTGTTAAGCAGCCTATAGCAGTAAATTGATTTTAATGTGAATTACCTTAGAAACTTTTCGTATAATTTGTTTTGCACTATGAAGTACAGATTTCCATACAATTATTTGTTGTTAATGAATATGGTAGGTTAAGGTCTTATGCTAAAAAAAAAATACCGTAGCCCTAGTTAGGTAGTAGTAGAGTAGTAATAGTGACTTTAATTATTTGACCGGACCAATTATAATCTCATTTAATAATAAAGTAATCAGCTTTAAACTGAATCACAGGACTAGTCCCATCCCCAGAGGTTGAAATCACCTTGAAGTTAGAAAGTAGTATAGGCCTAGAGGAGGTTTGTCCAACAAGCAAACGTTCTAAGAGACACGTCTCCAGTATTTAATGTTTGTCTTTACTATGGTATTAAATGATGTAATTATCACTGATATTGTTGGAAATGGCGAGCGAAAAAAAATAAACAATTGTATCTGATTGGCCTACAGTAATTTAATAATTAACGATCATAACATTTTTGTTTTGCAGGTGCAATTGTTTACAACTAAACTTCTCATCAACTAACATCATGAATAAGAAGCGAACAGGAAGTGACGTGAGAAAACAGGATTTCTGACTACTGTATAGCATTCAAATTATGATGTGACCGAATATGTTGTACATAATTTAAATTATGTGCGCCTGCACGGACTAAGAATATAATACTAATTTTATATATATATGTATTTGGATATTTATATAAACGATATAAAGTAACTTATTGAAATGCTGCTAATTATAAACTTCATTGAAGAAATATGACCAAACAATAAGGAGACAAGAGAACGTGAAACTAAAACAAATTCACGACGTCCGTGACCGTCTTTAGTTTTCTGCACACCGCAGATTCGAACCAAACCACGTCCTACACTGAACCTTTCGGGATAGTCAATTAAACTTAACAATTGACCAACCAGAACAAGGCCAAGAATACCCGCATGTCCAACAAACTCACTAGGGTGGTGTCAAGGGGCCGGGGGCCAGGGGGCCATCGGGGAGAGCTGCCGTCCCGTCGGGGAGAAACAAAAAATGTGTATTTTGTACATATTAGTAGTCTTTAAAATCGATTAAATAACATTTTATGGGGATTCGCCCCCTGGACCACTTTCGGAACATTTAAGCGACGCTCGCCCACTTTGCTCTAGTCGGGGACTGACGGAATTCCTGGCGCCACCCCTGAAGCTCACACGTTTATATCAATGTTTTATGGGACTGGTCGGGCAATTTCTGAAGAGCGAGGCTTAGCTGGCCACGAGATTCAAACCAAACTACGTCCTACACTGGTCTTTTCCGGATAGACAATTAATACTCACACATCCTCCTAAAAACACGCATGTTTACATCGAAGTTTTGTGGCACATAATTAAGGCCTACAAAGGGCGGAGCTTAGGTGAACTTGGTCAATTCAGACGTCGAAATTCCTCATGACTTGTTTAGGTGTTTAAAAATCAGCATTGACATAGGCCTACATCATCCTCGGCCTACTCACCACTATGATACATTGGACATACAAATCTAAGTGTGATGTTGGTACTTACTCCTTGTTTATGATAACTGCAAGTGACCTGACGTAAATTATTACTATATACGTAAGTTTAATCAACCACAGAGTGTGTGTATATTTGGTATTTTGCTTTCTTGTTTAATACTTGGGACTGCCAAACTTTTTATAGAAACTTTTTTCCTCTATGTCTTAGCCCTCCTATTGTATTTGAGGGATTTGAGTATTGTGATGAATTATATTTTGACATCAGTGTAAGAATAGTCAAACATTGAATGACATTGTTCATAAACTTTCGTTTTTGATCATCAGTAGGAGGTATAGTTTACAAATAAGACTCTTCATACTGCCCCTGTTGTGAACACGAAGAGACCCTTGGGGAGAAGCAAGTTATGGTACCAGCTAGTTTACACCATGGGCGCTTTGAGACTTTGGTATAAAGCTCTACAACTACATTAACTACATTAATTACTATTCCAATTATTTATTATTTACTTGTTTATTATTTTGTAGTAACAATGTATATATTTAGTATTTTTTAATTAATGAGGGCAAAATTTATAAAATTTATTACAGTATCCGGAATTGGAATTGTTATGAGTCCTGTATTTTGTGAACTCCACATGAAAATGTTTTAATTATTTCTAGATTTTAAAGTTTTTATATGTTATTGATCCTGCCGTATTGTTCTCTCAAGTAACTTTCAAAATGGAAATTCATCTAACATGGCAACATTAATTCGGCCTATGTAGGCCTACTTTTATACTTTTGTGCTGTTTACTTTGTGAATATAAATTACCGTAAATTTAATCATGTAAATTTTTTAAGTGTGAAATTTTATTATCCTTGTTTTGTTTGTATTCTAAATGCTATTACATTGTTTTCTCCTGTGCGTCGTTTCAGTTCGTTCAACAATTATTATATTGGTTACAATATTTATTTTGTTAAAAACAGATAAAAAACAACTTATCAAAATTAATCTACTGTCTACCGTTCTGTAAGACGTACCGCTCTTATTTACAATAGTGGATACAGGGAATCTTTAATACAGATTTATGGCGTAGTTTAAAGTTGAGAAATCTAATTTACTTGGCCTTTGTTTATAATAATGCAAGAAGTTTAAGGGCGCCTCTAGAATACAATTGGGAGACAGACAGATTAACAATATGGTATATTGTAGACATTCAAGAGTCAACATTGATCTCACGTTTACCATGATTGCAAAATAATTGTTTGTTTCATGGGAATTGAACAAGTACTAAGTTGAAGGTTTCTTATACTTTAAACAGAATTCATTAATCGTTTTCAAGACGGGAAAACATCGAATTCAAAGAACTTAAAAGTCATTAAGACACCTCAAAAGTCGGGAAATCTCATTTTCCGCCATTTAGGAATTAAAATTTTCCCGGGGAGAACCCGGACCCCCCCTTTCTTTTGGGATTTATTGATTCATGGAAAAAATGCGTAAGCAACTACTCAATTTGTTATACATGTAGGCCTATACACACATAACAGGCCTATTTACTTTAATAAAAATGAGAAAGTTTATCTGACCGTTTTCAAGAGGAAACCTTTAATTTTAAAAAACTTAAGTCATTAAAAGACACATAGCTCAAAAGTCGAGAAATCTCATTTCCCACCAACTAGAAATCAAACTTTTCCCGGGGGACGACCGCCCTGTAAAATGCGTATGACACTGATAAACAATCGAAATTCTTTGTATTATATTATTATGCTAAACATTTTACAGAGTGGACTTCCTTATGTTGTGGTCATTGACTGTAATATTATTATGAAATAAGTCCAATAAACAACATAAAACATATCAAAAATATTAGGTTAAAGTCCATGTATAAAACGTACGGTAATTTCCTAAAATTTGGATAGGCCTATCTGAGATTGATAGTCAATCAAAATTCTATGTACTATATGCTAATTTAACGAGATTTGCCTATGATTTAAGGAAATATAAATATATATTGAGCTACGCAAAGTTTAGAAGTTTCAAGGTTAAGTTGTGGTCATATATCCTGCTAACGGTTAACAGGATTCGGATCCTGCTAACCGTTAGCTACCGTGCGTCCATACGAGAAAATCCCGATCCGGATACCAAAAATATGATGATCAAATCACTGGCCAATAAAAAACTGGAAATTGTAAATGCGTACGTGTGATTGGTTGATGATAAAAACGCGCTCAACCTGCTAACCGATGGCGCTTGCTAACCGTTAGCGGTATCCGGATACTAACCGATCGGGCGTTTTCACGCAGGTGCTAACGGTCAGCTCCCGATCCGGATACTAGGGCTCTCGTGAGAACAGGCTTCAGACTAATATCATTAAGAAATAATATTGCTATGGACTTTCAATCAATACATGCAGGCGCAGATCCTGCAGACCTTTGCACCGTTCGTATCGCTATGGTAATAATCAAAAAAACAAACACAGGGAGAATATACATGTGTGTTGATTCTTATAACCTTATTGGATAGCATATATAATTTATTATATATAATTTTTTTATAATTATAATAATATTTAAATAATTTCCTGGTGGAAGTAAAACACACCAATCAAGTTTGGTTTTGATCAGAGTACAGTTGTTGAAAGAATTGCATTATTCTGCTTCCTTTAAGAATAAGTTATATTATGACTAAGTTCTTATCATAATAGGAATTTTAAACTGTAATATTATTAACTAAGACCAATCAACACATAACATAACACATGTACATATCAAAATTGTTATGTTTAAACCTTCCTCGTCGGTGCTTGCATAAAACGTATGTCTTGGAATTTATTAGGTTAAAGTTCTCACGTCGAGGCATGCATGAAACGTAATTTCCTAAAATTTGGACATCTGAGATTGACAGTCAGTCAAAATGCTCTGTATTATCTATGCTAATTAACGAGTGGACTTCCTTATGATTTAAGGAAATATAAATATATATTGAGCTACTCAAAGTTTAGAATTTTAAAAGTTAAGTTGTGGTCATAGTAGACTGTAATATCATTAAAGACCACTGAACAAACAACATGGAACATATCAAAATTATTATTATTATTATTATTATTTATTATGCACTTCAGTGCATGAATATAACGTACGGTAATTTTGGGGATAGGCCCCTATATGAGATTTGAGAATGTACTGAATATAAAATCTTAAATATTTTACATTTTCATCAGTGATCTATCAGAAATACGGGGATTAGTTATACTGTAAAGCCTTCGGAACCCCTGCTACACTAAGACTGCGATCCAACAGGCCGCGTGAATATTCCATTTTGATAATGTAGATGTTTTTTACATATTTCTTATATTCTATACTAGACAGATAAATGAATGCCTGAACTGATATTTTATTTGTTTCATACCGTATTACTTTCTATACAAAAGAGATATCATAAATCATATACTATTGTGTATTGTGTGCATTGAACATTTGACGACGACGATAATGAAGCCAAATTCCCAACCGTAACTCAGGCTAGCCTCACTTGACACTTCACATCAAAGGGCCTGTTCATTAATCTTGCACAGGAGCCTGTCATCACCTAGCTTCCTCATCATCATCATCATCTTTGTCATCATCATAATTATTAATTGTCCATATTATTATTATTATTATTATTATTATTATTATTATCATTATTATTATTAATAATAATAATAATAATATTATTATTAATAATAATAATATTATTATTACTATTATTATTAATACATAGACACTAAATTTCGGTTGAAGAAAAAATGCATCCTGGTTTCGTAATCAATCTTTATAAATCTTACACTAAAGAGAAGAAATAATGTAAACTATCATTAATTGTTCACTCCAGAGTTCACAGACTTGTGGTTCTATGTCAAGAGGGTAGGTTGAGTCCAAACACAAAGGTGGAATTTAGCCTTTTTTCATATTCAAAACTAATCAATTAACTTGTGGTCTGTCAGCTTAAAATGCCGACCAACCGTACTGGTGGCTACAGCCCTGCATTGTACATAAGCCACGTTTATTTGTTTTATACAACATACTATTATGGGTATAATTATCTTTCTCAAATTTTTAGGTGGATTTATATTAAAATCTCCCAGATCAACTGTACTCGATATGTTTTTTTTTCACTTCTCTCTTACATGGCGGCGCACTTCAACTATTGAAACTAGAGTTTCTATATAGGAATTGAAACTTGAGTGCCTATGCCTACTCTGACTGATTTAATGGACGAATTCAACAACAGATACTAGTATGGTTAAATGAGGCCCGTAGTTATTTTCTGTTATTGAAATAGCAATAATCATAACAGCAGAGGGGTTTTAAAATAAAGTATAATAGATAGGCCTATGCTGAAAAAAAACAATATATGCTTACAAATACAAAGACATGTGTCTCCCAGGTTAACTGTCGACAGGTTTTTATTTACCTCTCTTTTACCTCCTGTCTCTTATACACATCTAGATGTGTATAAGAGACAGATTTATTCCAGTATCCGGAATTGGAATTG